TAGCAATGGCGACAATTGGCGTATTCCTCCCAGGGATACCATTTGCCAGGAGGGGCACGACGCACATGGGTGGCTGGTTGGCGTGGGGAGGGCGGGTTGGGCTCAACGGCATTTATGCAAGATGCTTCAAATGCAAACTAAGGCACGTTTTGGGCAGTTTCATTTTGTGTTCGGTTTTTTCAAGCTAGTGACTAGCATGAGTACTATGTATGATAAGAAGCAAATATAGCTTCTTCAGTCCTTGTTGAAGCTATTTCTATCTACTCAGCCAAAGTACAATCATGAACGCTGAGTTGGCTGGAAACAACATATACACAACAGTATGGTATCATCTGAAAGACATCCTGATCGTTTTATAGTCCACATGAAACCTCCCCACAACGTAGTCTCTATAGACTCTGCTTTCCGGCCGTCTCAATCGGCAGCAATACCATCGCCACAAACGAAACCAACAGGAGCGCACCGGAAGCATAAATAGGAGCACTGGGATTCCCCGAAGCATAAATACCGATAATCGGTGCGCAGAGACCCGCAATTCGATTCAGGCAACTCGCGATACCGGTTCCAGTGCCTCGGTTGGGAGCCGGGAAGACTTCCGGGGTGTACGCATACAACACACCGTACATGATCATCTGTGTGAATGATTCAAGAGCGGAGCAGACTAGCTGAGTGTCGGCTGTCTTGGCCGCGGTGAAGCAGAAGAGCAGGACGGCCGTGATACAAGTTGAAATGGCCATGGTACCCTTGCGACCGATGTACTTGATGTCGACGACGTAGCGAGCTAGAATGGGGCCGAAAAGACCCGTGACGGACGTGATGGCGTAGTTCCGGTAGGTCTCGTATGTCGAGGCCGTCGAGCCGAGGTATTGGGGGAGGAATGCGTTAAACAGCGTGTATCCCATGCCGATGGTGGTCCAGCAGAGCCAGATGAGAACGGCTAGGTTTGGATGTCAGTTATCTCCCCAGTCAGTCATACTACTCGCAGAAGAATACTTACTGGTGATGCCGAGACGCTTGGAGGAAAACAGCGGGCCGATCTGCTGGACGGAGAACTTGGAGAGAGACCGCGCGAGGATCTCCTTCGAGGAAAGATTTTGTTCCTTCTCAGTCTGCTCTGTGGATCCGCCAATCTCGTTCAGGATTTCCGTCGTGAGCCACGTCTTTTTCTTGTTGCGGTGGGCGACGCCGTGGATCGCTGCAACGGCCTCGTCGTCCCGTCCCTTGGCGACCAGGAACTTGGGCGATTCGTACAGCTTGAAGAAGCAGAATCGACAGATCCAAAAGACCATGGTGATGGCACCCAGACTAAGAACGAGGTATCTCCAACCCATGTTGTTTGCCTTGGTACAGGTGGCGGCGTCGGTGCAGGAATAGTTGGGGATGAAGGCCCAGGCCAGCATACTGCTCGTGGGTTAGTACACTCCGTGACATCAAACTATGCTAAGGTGGGTAGGCGAACCTGGCAATGAATGTACCCACCGACCAGAATACGGCCAGCGAGCTCAGAATATGGCCAGAAGACGTGGGTAAGAATTCGAGGAAGATTGCAGCATCCACCGGCAGGTTTCCACCCACTCCTAATCCCAAGCAAGCGTACAGAGCACAAGTACTGGAATTCCCATTAGCCATCACGATAACGCAAACCGGAGCTGGCCATAAGCTCACCCGACCCAGCTTGAACCTCCGCCCGACGCCAGACCAAATGCGCCACACATGAAGAGCGTCGTGTTGAAAGCCAATCGACGTCCAATGAGATCGGATGCAAGACCCCAGAAAGTGGCGCCAACGATCAGGCCCACAAACAAGGCACAGGTGGTGAAACGAACGTAGGACTCGGAGACGCCAAATTCCATTGACAACGGTGTGAGGGTCAGGGCAACTCCCTGCGCACGATCAAGTTAGTCTAGCTGGCCCACTTCGTTCGACGCATTTCGGACGAGGATCGAGCAGTCATACCTGTAGCCAGAGGCTGGGCGCGTGAGGTGGTTAGAGCGAGATTATGTAGACTGGAAGGGGCATGGGTTTGCTCACTTATCAGCAGTCCAGCCAAATCCACACAGAATGAAGAGCTCCCATTGATAACGGCCCATGCCGATATCCTGGATGGCTCTATTAATGATTTTGGCCTTGCCTGTGATGATCTCTCAGTCAGACATACGGAGTCCTCGGTATATTTCGGGTCGAGGGCGATGGTGGGGAAGCTGAGATGGGATATGGCAACGGAGTAGGATCGGTAACAGTGGCATCAGGCAATAGCCGGCACATTTGGGTTCAATGATTACTCCAGGGCAAGGCAACAGGAACATACGATCATAGACAGAGTTATGGCCCGAGGCGGCAACGGCGCCTTCCACCTCTGCACGAAGGGCCTCCAGGGTTAGCGTGCTGCACTCGGGCGCAGAACCGGCGCCCTTTTCTTGAGAATCCAGGCTATTGACGTTGGATTCGCCATCCTTTTCCGCATGGGGGGTCGAACTTGGGGCATCGGCGAGTGGGATCACGACCTCGGGCATTTGCAGGCGGTCCCGTTGCCAGGACTTTATCCAACTACCCATCTTGATCAGGCGTTCGGGGTGGTCGCAAAGGGGATCGGGATCAGGCGCGTGGCTAGCAGAAACGAACGACCTAAAGGCTGCTGGGGTTGTCTTTCGGAATTGTTGCTCCTGGGGTAACTCTTACAACCTGGATCGTGAGTGGGCAAGTCGTGACAAGGCGTTATTCAGGGCAGATGCTAGATGGCGCAATGGCTGGCGTGATTTCAGGATTGGGCAACAAAGCTGCAGAGGGTTGTCACAATGGGAGTTGGCGCAATGGAATTCTATCAACACAGGTCGCTCTCTGGGTTTCCGTTTGGGCGCGTGGAGTATCCGGTATGGGTGTCTCGGTCCTAGAATTGTTATATCTAGTGTTGTCCGATACCACAGAGAAAAAAAGTCCGTAACAATTTTTGGTTCGTATATTATCTCGGCTGAATAGCCCGGTAACCACAGTCCTTCACAGCCCAATGATGACACACAGGAAAGAGGGAGGCCAGACGATTCCGCGGTAGTCAGAATGGGACTCCAGTGAACTGAGGAAGGCAACGGAATACCTCCTCCGAAAGATGGGGCAAGTGGGGAGAGGAAAGAATGGGGAAGAAGAGGGTAGGATAGGATAGAAATCCGCAAGCAGCAGACAACGGACGGGGGAATTGTGGCACCCTATATAACCCCCGATTCATGCAACAATGTATCTCCGTTATAGGACCAATGGTGAAAATTTGACATAACATCAACGCAGAACGAGCAGGCCCACCGCACTAGGCTCGACGCCAGAACTAAGGCAGAGCTGATGTTGTCCGCTTGAAACTTGCTCCTTCCCGGTACGAATACATAGGGCCCCCATTTTCGGTGTGAATAACAGGCGTCGTGTCGTTGCGCGGGCCACCGTTGTTGCTATCGGTACATCTAGTCTTATGGTACTTGAGGATGCAGGATCGCTGTCCTCATGGCGCTTTGGGGCTGAGGCATTTCACCTCTTCCTACTGGGGTCGACACTGTCTGTGTGTGCGCGGGCAGGTTATGTGGGTGACGGTGGAGCATAGGGAATGGCCCGAGAAAGGCCAAAAAGAGAAAGGGAAACCAGGAAGTAACAGAAAAAAAATTTTAAGATTGTATGATTCGATGTCGTTGGGGTTGACTTCGCGGTTCTTAACAAAATCGGCCAGTGGGTCGGAATGTGAGTCGATAATTTCCCACCCAACGCTCATTCGCGTCCGGGAGTCGCATCGTCCGTGCCAAGGACTTCCCCTGTCGGCGAAATAGGAAAGGAAAGTGAGCGTGCGGCCGGAAATTGGCTTCGGCTTCGGCCGCTTGACACCCACTTGGTGATGGACTAAGAATTAGCCGAGCATCCACCGAAACAGTCCTCGGCATACTTCCGGTTGTTTGCGGAAGTTGACGTCATTCCTATGCTCAAAATTCAGCGGTCCGTCTGTTCGTACGGAATAAAAGAGAATGTAAAGTCCTCACCTTCACCTTGCTGTCGTGGTGCTCAGTGGATGGGATCATTCTGAAGTGCAGGAGACTATTAATCGTAGTTGTATCCGACACACTGCAGGACATCCCGGCATCGGAATAACCTTCGGCATGGCTGACCGCATTCTCCTTCCAGATCCGGTCACGTGTGGGCCAGCCTGAAGCCAGGAAGATATATATCTTTGGATGGCATGTACAGTAGCATCCTCGAGCGTCGTAACGCCCACGTTGACATCGGAATCCGTTCCGATCCAAAACAAAAACCAAACATCCTCGATGAAAATGACTATCCGATTCGTAACATTAAATTTCATTCTGGCTATCTGGGGGCGATCTCGTTACGGTGGAAAATAAAAGAGAAAAGAACAAAGAAACCAGACTGAGGGCAAGATAAACAGTGCCGGGTCTAGTCTAGAAAGACAAGATTGCCATTTTGATTGGAGATGCGCTCATCCAACCGCACCCATGATCGATCCCATCCTCCCCGACCGTTCGCCAGTTCGGCCTCCAGCACTTTACCCCCTTCAACCAGACGAATATTCCGCGCCGACGCTGCAAAGTTTCCATTCCGTGCCCACACCAACTTACCAAACTGATTCGATAGCACGCTATTGAGTGGAATGGAAGATGGACGCATTTGACCCGAGATTGCGCCACAGTGGGCGACGAGCTCATGGCCCCCCTCCAAACGGATGTCGCGAGATGAGGCAGAGAAGTTCCCACGCAGTGGGGTGGAATCGTGCCTGGGAGGTCCATGGTGTGGGGGTTGGGAGAGCATAGCGTGCTGCTGAGCTTGTTGCTGGGCTTGCAGTTGAGCTTGCTGCTGAGCGTGCTGCTGGGCTGCTGCTTGCTGAGCGGCCCATTGCTTTTTCTTTTCCTCCTCTTCCTTCTTTTCTTTATGTTTCTTCATCGCGTCCTGCGCGACCGAGCCGCTGATCGCCCCACCGATGGCGCCCAGGAAGCCGTGGTTGACCTTATGACCACCGTAGGCACCGGCCGCCCCGCCCGCGACCGCACCGAGAAATCCTCTGTCCTTCTCCTCTGGTTCAGCATTTGGGGTATCTGTGCTCCCCGTAGGCTGGGGGGAATAAGGTGGCGGGTGTTGCCCGTAGCCCGCCTGTTGTGGGGAGGAAGGAGAATATGGTGGCTGTCCCCCATATGGAGGGTTCTGATATGATCGGTTGTCCGGCTGCTGGTAGTAGTTCCCGGGTGACGGGGAGGGCCCCGCCCATGGCTGCGACTGAGGATATCCGGACTGCGCGGGGTAGGACTGATTGCCCGAGTTGTAGTTATAGTTGGTCTCCGATGGGTTTGCGCCCGACGGAGGATACGGAGGGTAGCCACTGTTGTTCTGCTGGTTAAAGGACTGAGGAGATGGGTTGCCTTGTCTGTTTGGAGGATAGTTGTTCGCCCCATAGCCATAGCCGGTGGGGGGTTGCTGGTCCCCACTAGGATAATCTCGCATCGTCATGGTGAAGGGACGGAGGTCGTACGAAGAGTTATAAATCACTACTAGTGAAGATCCAACACGGAAGCAAAGGCAGGGAGTCAAGATCTGTGTCCTTTGAAGAAGTGGCAGTTGAGGGTGTGATATTTATACCCCCCTGACCCAAACAATGGTGGGGTGGCTGTGCCTTACAGGGCTGCCGGCACTGCCACATCTGTGGAGATGCACTGGCAAGCCACATTGGATGTTCTTTCCTCTTCATAACCTTCAACCTCGGATAACATCATGTTGACTACACGCCTGGACTGGGCAAATTATTGGCCTACATGACAAAAATCACTTCACGATGCTAATTTTAATCAAGGGTGACCCCCTCCAGCAACCTCGTCGCTGTCCGTCCGCCCTCGTTTTCATGGCTGCCTAGAAGACGATTCATCGTATCGTCTCCACTACCCACGGCCATAGGGCTGATAGTCGACCAATCAGACTCATCCCTGAACCATAAAATGCGAGTCGAGAATGAAGCTTCTGCATAGCACATCACATCCGTCGCAAAAGTGCTATCAGTGAGATACTCCGACTCGCTGGTTACTCCGGGGGGCCGATCACGCACAGTGACCAGAATGAAGGCGATGTGTGTCAGGATTCTCCCGTTGAATGCAGGTGGTGGTACTGGATACGTAGTCGCCGGAGAGAGAATATAATGGCTGCCTATCCTCTGTCTCCTCGACAGCGTTCAATCGGTGTGTAACCTTACGACACCCCATTGGTGCTTCTGGTCAGGGAATGGGCTATCGCCTGCAGGAACTCAATGTGTCACCCAATCCAACACTGGGACTAAGCGCCTTTGATCATCGACACATTCAGAGGAATCTCCCAATCAACTCCCCCTCGCGCGGCCATGCCGTCCGGAGCGTGCAAGCCCTCAACTGTCTCCCAGCGCCGTCCAAGATATAAAGCCATGGAGAGGGTTTTGTTTACAGGCTTCCAAACTCGCAACCATCTGACAACATCGAGTTATCCTTTCCTCTCATAAGCCCACCTTCTTCCATTGTCTCCCACACAAACCTCCGCCATTATGGGTGTCCTAAAGGTTCTGCTCAAAGCTATCCTCATTCCCATCGTCCTCCTTCTGGTCATTTCGGTCGTCGTGTTCTTCCTTATCAAAAGGCACCGAAGCCGGAAGGACAAAGAAAGGCAACTCGAGAATGGGTTTCAGCCCCCGCCCATCGTGCAATGGGTTCCAAATCAAGACTCCATACAAAAGCCAGCGCCAATCGCCTATACGTCCCACGTGAAACCACCCGGCTAAGAGGACTTTCAAAATGTCTCAACACTGCGGTAGTAAGTGCACCAAGTTGCGCGTTCATCTTTGTTGAGGCCCCGCTGATCACCTTGTCGATATAGGATTCTCGTTCGATCGTTTGCAACTGGCTGGCTCCGGTATTGCTTTTCTATGATGGGTCTAGATATACTGTTGCTTGAAGCTGATGACAGACCGGGAGTGGGGCGCGAGTGAATATGGTTTATTCTGCTCCGTCAATGCGTTTCCTTTTCCTCTTCTCTTTC